CAAGAAAATTTGAACATGTGTGAAAGTGACCCCCAATTTTCGAATAACGCAATCACAGGTGACGAGTCGTGGATCTTTGAGTATGATCCCGAGACAAAGAGGCAATCTTCCGAGTGGCACACGACGGCGTCTCCTCGCCCAAAAAAGGGAAGAATGAGCAAATCCAAAGTGAAAACGATGCTCATTGCCTTTTTTGACATCAAAGGCATCGTCCACCATGAATTTGTTCCTCCTGGACAAACCGTCAACGCCAAGTTTTACGTGGAAGTGCTCAGGAGACTCAAAGGAAGGGTCAGTCAGGCCCGACAAGACATCGCAGCCGACTGGAAGTTGCACCACGACAACGCCCTGGCTCACACCGCCTTTTTCGTGAACAGCTACCTGACCAAGGCCGGCATCCCAACGCTTCCGCAGCCGCCCTACAGCCCAGATGTGGCCCCCCCGGACTTTTTTTTGTTTCCTCGCCTGAAAAGGCCGATGAAAGGCAAGCATTTTGAGACGACAGAGGGGATCCAAGCAGCATGCACCGCGGCTCTTAAGGCTATTCCGGAGAATGCTTTCCGTGACGCCTTCAATCATGGGAAATCGCGCTGGGAGCGCTGCATCGACGCAGAAGGAGCCTATTTTAAAGAATTGTAACGATTGGCTCAATAAATTTTTTTAAATCGACTCAGTCCTATTACTTTCCGGACAAACCCTGTAAGGTGGATGCTCTTGTCGCTTGACATCAACAAAGCTTCTAGACCGAACTTGATGAGATGTGCAGCTGAGCTTGATGTCTAGCACTTTCCCAGAAAACGGGAAATCAACATATGACCATCCCACAGATATGTGTAAGACGTGTCAATCCCTACATCTCCGTGACGCGTAATACATTTACTATGGACATAGACAAAAACATATGAAAAATGTCTCACAAATAATGTCTTTTAAGTCCAAAAATGATAAAAACTAGTAATGTTTAATTTTTTTTCTTTTTGACTGGTGCATTGGCGGGGATATCCATCTGTCACCCGCAGGGTTGCCAAGTCTAACGACGATCACGTCCCGTGGTGGAGGGTGCGAACTGAATCTTTTACATTTGCTGGTTTTTAATTTTTTTGGTGAAAATTTACTAGGTATCATGATTATAAGCATCTTTGGTAGATTGTTCGATCCGGATTGGAAAAGATCTCCTATTTATGAAAATATTTTTGGTATCATCTAACCGTTGCAATCAGGGCACAAACACTGTGACATATGATTTATAGCATAACCCGCTGCCCTATCAACACAAATTTAACATACAGGTCGCCTAGCCGTGGGGATGCAGTGGTCGGGATGAATATCACGGCATCAACTGATGATTTGAGCATGTCTGGTAACAACGTATGGAGTGAAACTCGCTAACTTCACAAATTTGAAGAAAGAAGAAAGATATGTCTGATTTGGCAGTGTAATGACGCAGCCAAATGGCAGTCACACTTTCTGACACAGTCCGGATCGAAAGATGACGATACTCGTGAAATGTATCGATACACCCAAGTGTCGTATATTAAAATATCGATTGAAAATATCGGGTATGGGAAGCAAAAGTATCGATACTTCTAGATATAGGATCGTATCCAACATCCGTACTGTCAAGATGTATAATCCGATGTACCGACGCAGCTATTTTGGGGCGTCATGGAATTAATTTTAAATTTTCGTTTTCATTTTTTCAAGTGTTGTGCAACGATTTTGGGAAAAATTCCACGAATACTCTTATAAAGCATAGTAGAGTATATTTCAACAGTTGGCGGAACGTACTCCACTGGGACCAGGGGGGTGAAACGGGATATTAATGCACAATCTGGCAACCATGTTGCATCCTCAAAAAATGGCCGCTCACAACCACACAAGTCACCGTGTTGTCATTGAATAGCATGGAGTTAAGCCTTCAGAGTATATGTTTTGTGACTGGTACCAAGAGTTGACAGATCCCACACATGTGTCACTCCTTGGAATGCAATAACCAGCTGTGTTCAAATAACGTCTAATATAAATATAACCTAGAATGTGTACTCGTGAAAAAAGAAAAATATGGCAAATTTCTAGTTTTGTTTGCAGGTTTTAGTTTTGTTGGTAGCTGTAAGGCAGATACTTGGGAATTTCTTAATCGCTGTGAATATATAATATATACATATATATACAAACCTGAATGGTTTTGTGGAAATATCAATCTAAGGTGCCATAATGGTTCTGATGAACGAGCAATATCTTTTGGTAGAGCCGGTCATCAAGTAGGTGCTTAATGGCTATTTGCAAGAGGTTTATACGAAAAAAACACCCAGTATCACATATCAATTGAAGAAAATAATATAAACATGAATAAAAAATCAGCAATAGTAATTAAAACATGAATTTAATTCAAAAATCAAACATTTCTTAAAATTTTGACTGAATTATATGTAATTTCTTAATATTCAATAAGCTGGTGATGTTTCAATGTCAAGTTGTCATCTCATACTTTGTCAGTATTTTGTTTTCAACATTTCATAGCTATTGGTTGCTAAAATTTGTTGATTGGAACTTGAAGCTCATTCGCTGTATCTGACGGTCTGTTACCCTATAGGTGGAGAATAATGGACTGCTGTTGGTGAAATTGGCCCTTGAATACTAAAAAAATTGTTACGGGGTATTCTGGCCATCGAGAACGAAGCCTGTCCTGACCGTAGTGGATGAGTCAATGAGTAGTTGCGTGGTGGCGTGGCAGTCTGATACACTGTGGACGTACTGTGAGATGTAGTGGTGAAGTAGATGTTCAATAAATCTACGTGATTTTGAACTAGTCGTTGCATGCATGGGCTGATCGACCCTCACCCGGTTATCATCGGTGGATTGTATATGTACAGAGTATTCCTTAATGATATTCGAATATTTGAGGGTGTCAATCTACATGAAAAATTAATGTTAGTTTACTTTATAAACTATGGTCCAAAAATGTTTCCTTACAAAAACTCGGTGTGTTGAGGCTTTAGGAAAAAAATAAAATTAATTAATATTTTCAGAACCGCTTCGGATATTCCACTGATATTTAGTACGTAGTGAAAACTAATAAAGTTGCAGATTTTTCAATGCTAAAGTAATTTTTAGCTTTAACAGCGGCGTGCATACGGGTATTGACTTCGATATTTTTTTAGCAAAAAATGGTACGCCAACGGTTTTTGCTAAATAAAAATTATTTCTGAATTCCCCGTTCAATTTAAAACATATAAACTGTCTTGAATTGTTTTCCTTCGATGCTTCATTTTTGAGTAAAAAAATAAAACCGTTCTATTGCCTAACTTTATTAATTATTATTCATTTAAGTGGAAAAATTAAACACATTGGGGGTAATGAACAACAACAACTGACAACATAAACATAACAGTAAAACTAACGAAATGATTGCAAAAATTGTTGAAAATGGCCCCCTTCACTTAGTATGCATGCTTCCACCCTCCTTCTCATGGAATTGCGCACTGGTTGAAATATCCCTGGAGTGTTTTTTTATTCTATCACAAGCTGCAACTATTCTTTCTCTTAATCCATCTACAGTGTTAATGAGACTTGTGTACACTAGTGTCTTAAGATAGCCCCACAAAAAGAAATCCAAACTATTGAGGTCTGGGGACCTTGGTGGCGATTTTTGGGGCCCACCGCGGCCAATCGAACGATTTGGATAAAAAGTTTGTAAATAATTACGAACCGCTACACTGAAATGCGCTGATGCATCATCATGCATGTACTACATATTGTTTCTTATTACTAACGGAACATCATCAAGCAGCAAAGGCAACTGTTGTTGAAGAAAATTGAGGTAAGTCTGTCCGTCAAGTCGTTCCGGCAAGAAGAATGGGTCAATAAAGTGGTTGCCAATAATTCCTGCCCATACGTTTGCCGAAAATTGGTGTTGGGAATGGGTTTTGGTTACGGCATAGGGATTTTCTTCTGCCCACAAATGATTATTGTGGAAAGTCTGAAATACATTCCGAGAAAAATTAGCTTCTTCCGTGAACAGAATCATTAATTCAAATTGCGGATTTTATGTATTTTTCACCACTGACAAAAGGTAACACGCCTTGGAAAATCAATGGGAAGTAATGCTTGTATTCTTAAAATGAATGTGGTAAGGATATAATAAAAAATCCACTAAAAGTCTCCAAACAATTTGATGGGAAATATTTAAGTGTCTAGCGATCTTCCTCGTACTCGTTTCAGGATGTTCTTCGATATCGTGCGTGCGTGCTTCCTCAATTTCAGGTGTTCTCACACTTAGAGGTCTACCTTCAGACATTCCTTTTCGAACTGATACAGTTTCAACAAGACGACGATGAATATTAGAAAAGGTTCGACTATCTGGCAAAGCATGATCGGGATATCTCTGGTGATAAAGGCCATATATGTAATGCATTTCCACCATTTCTGCACTTGAATAGTTCACCATTATTAACAAACTAAATAATGAAAAAGATGCCACAGCGCACAGATTTGAATAACAGAGACTTGTCAGATGTCAAAAGTCAGTGACATACTCCAGAGCAACTAGATATTTATTGCTAAATTGCATTTTTCATTTAATACAGAGTTCCCCAAACTTTTTTGTGTCGTAGACCCTAGAAATGTTTTTCCTTGTTGGGTAGACCCCTACTTACCTGATATTGATTTCCTGTAAATTTCTAACTGTGGTGAAGTTTAGTGTTAAAAACTTAAAGTAAACACACATGTTAATTTATACATTTATTAATTGAATTTAAATTAAAACTACTCAAAATAAAATTTTGTATCTGTTATGTAAAATATACGTAACATTAAATAAACAGGTGTCTGACCAATAAGTGCCCACATTGGGAATAAGTGCCCGCATTGAAAAAAAATAAGAGGGATAAAATAAAAAAAAAGTGAAAAACAATAAAAAAAGTTTTTTTACTTAAAATAGCACAATAAGCGAGTTCGTTTATTAATTATAACATCAACGTATGTTCTACAATAATTTCACTGTCAGTTTGATTAAATTCCGCTTCTTATACGTTTAAGTTATCTAAAAATAGGCAAAAAATTAACGAATTTTAGTGTGTACCTATCCTTGAATTTGCAGAATAATTTAAAAAAATATATATTTTCTAAAAAAATCAATGCGGGCACTTATTCCCAATGCGGGTGTTTATTGGTCAGACACCTGTTTATTTAATGTTACGTATACGCAATAAGTCAATATTTTTAGTGAGAAGGATGAACCTGATGCTTTAATAATAAATTATCAACATTTGGCGTCAATTTTGTAAGGGTTAATTTTAAATCTCCTCGGCTAATGATGTCCAGATGTCCAGTCTGTTTCTTTTTTTCGTTAGGAGATTGGTAACAGCGCTGAACCCTCTTTCCACTAGCTATGACGATGGAAAGGAAATTAAAAATTTCCTCGCTATGTTCCATAATACGGGATAAGTAACGGGTATGTTGTTTTGCAGCTAGAATTGCTGATATCCGTTTTTAAACTGAACCTTAAGTTCTTCGTTTGTACTTAGTTCAGTCACTTCCTCTTGTATTATGACATTCGTTTCTTCTATGTCACCATATGGATTAATTATCCACGGTGGTATTACCATAGTCAAAATATCCTCAAACCCAAGTTGAAACGTCGTCTTCCTGGCAGCTTGTCTGTGACAAATTGGGGAACCGAGAAAATTCGCCCCGTCCAATATTTTGCTTCATTAGTTTAACTCTGGCAAGAAACGCTGATAAGATGGACTTTGTTTTAATCAAATTTAAACTGTCGCCTTGTAATTGCAAATTAACCATATTAAATTTTGTAAACAAATCTGTTAAATAGGCGATGTATGTTGTCCTCTTCATTAAATCTTCTTTTAAAATTTTATCTTTAGTATCCAGAAATTCTAAAATAGTCTCAAAAAGTGCAAAAAATCTTGTCAAACATAAGCCTTTCGACAGCCAGCGTACTTCAGTGTGAAGGAGTAATTGATGAAAGTGTTCGTCATTTTCTTCACACAACTGCGCAAATAACCGCATATTCAACGCGTTGCTTCGGATTCGGTTTACTGCATCAATGACTAAATGAAGTGATTCATGCAATCTAACACTCAAATTTTCAGCAACTAAATGTTGTCGATGGATGACGCAATGTATTGCTAACTCCCCTGACACATTTTGTTTTAAATAGCTTATAAATCCACGATAACGTCCAACCATGGCAGGTGCTCCATCTGTAGCTACTGATATTATATTTGATAAAGGAATTGCTTTTTCAATGAAGTAATCCTTCTAAACATGAAATATTGATTCACCTTTAGTGTCGGTTATCAAAGTTCTTGAGAAGAGCAGTTCTTCGTAGACTTCTTGATTTATAATAAAACGAACGTATGCCAAAAATAATGCTGCATTATCAGGTAAAGTTGACTCGTCCAGTTGTATAGAGAAATGGGTCGTATGCAAATAATTACATAAGAAGCTTTCAATATAAGAACTCATTTCATCAATACGTCTTTCAACAGAATTGTTGCTTAAGGGAATTCTTTTAATGATATCTGATGCAAGTTTGTGTAAAACAGTTTTTAAAACCTCTTCAACGGCTGGCAAAATTAACTTCTCTCCGATAGTATGCGGTTTTCCGGATTTTGCTATAAGTAACGAGATATTCTAAGACGCCCGCAAACCATCCTCATTTCTTTGTGACGTCGAAGCGAACATTCTGACCAGTGTAGTTCTCTTCTGAAATTTATGTTTGAGTGTTTGAAAGTATTTCAAATCATTCTCTGTTTTATCAGGATGGCATCTTCTCAGATTATCTTGCAGTTTAGATCGTTTCAAAACTTTGTTGCATAAAAGGCACATAGGCTATTGTTCGTCCGGCAATGATGGAATGAAGCCAAATTTCAAATAATCAATACTGTACTGTCTACATTCCTTTTTAGATTCGGACATGGCATCAGTCATCTGTGGGCAAAATTAAATTATTTAAATAAGACAGAAAATCCAGCAGCTGTATATTAAAAATATTTTTTGATTTTTCCGAAAACATTCCATAATTCGAACATCTTTTTGCAACAATTAGCTCGAATTACGGAGATTGCACTGTAATTATATTACCGATTGCTAAAACTTTCAAAAAGAAACTATTGAGGAGTACTCGTGTAATTTTGCATGATTGAATATTTAACTACTAATAACTAAAGTCATGATTGGCGTAATTTATCTATCTTTGCTAACTACGAGTACAAAACTAAAATTCAATAAAAAATAATGTACTTACTTTTCTCCAGCACTCTCAAACAAAATAACACTGACTCACTATAATTTGTGTGATATACTATCTGTTTATATTTTTTAAAATATTTTCTTAGCACTTTCCTTTTCCAGATTCAGGAAACGAGTAAACGTATTTGTCCCACATTCGTATTTATAGAGTGACGAATTAAACAAGTCAGTGCAAGGTAGCGAAGCTCTGAGACTGCGACTCTCAGGTTTTTACAAGTTCAAAATGTATTGCGACCACAAAGCGAATACCAACATCCTACAACTTACACAATTTTATAAACATGTATAATTAATTTTTTACTTCATAGGTACTTTTATAAATAATGTATATGTTTTGATATTATAAGATAGTATGATGTAAGTAAATAGGTGCTATCAGTGTTGTCCACTATCGTGGACCCCCATATTCATTTCATGGGCCCCCAAATTTTTTTTCGCTGACGTAGACCCCTTGCAGGTTGTCATAGACCTCTAGAGGTCGATATAGACCACTTTGGAAATCAATGATTTAATACATTAATTTTCTCGGACAATAGAACGATTTTTATTTTTTTATCCAAAAACGGCGCATCGAAGGAAAACAGTTCAAGAGAGATCATTTATTTTAAATTGAACGGGGAATTCAAAAATAATTTTTATTTGGCAAAAAACTATTGGCGTACCATTTTTTTCTTAAAAGTCAATACCCGTACGCTGTTAAAGCTAAAAATTATTTTTGCATTGAAAAATATGCAGCTTTATCAACTTCGTACTAAATATCAGTAAAATATCTGAAGCGGTTCTGAAAATATTAATTAATTTCCATTTTTTCCCTAAAGCATCAACACCCTGAGTTTTTGTAGGGAAACATTTTTGGACCGTAGTTTATTAAGCAAACTAGCATTAATTTTTCTTGTAGATTAACACCCTTAAATATTCGCATATCATTAAGGAACATCCTGTATGTGGGCCTTAATCTATTGGTCTGCACCGCGAACGTATTTGCGAGAAGGCTTCACATTATACAACTGGATAGGCACATGAATAAAATATCGCCTCTAGCCAGACGTTTGTCATTCGTATTTTTCGCTTCCACAATACTGTAGCTTCCCGGAAGGTGTTTGCCAAAAAAACACAGAAGGAATAAAGAGCTGAGCACAGGCACTTGGCAGAATAATCCCTCGTAATCTTCTTTTAGCTTCGGTTGGATGTTTTCCCATATTTCCCGAATTTAGGAGGTAGAGTTGGATGTATAAGAACGAACCACGATGTGTTCGAAATAGGCTACTGAACCCTTACTTCAGATACTTCTAATGATCAGATCACCTGCGTTTCAGATGGTGTGCTAAACAGTCCGTCGAAAGATATTAAAATCAAGGAATCATCTGTACAACAATTTCAAATATATAGTATTGATGAACATTCGGATATATTTCAATGACTGCCCAGAACTTCAGAGTATCACCGAATCAGTTAATTAGTTGCGTCAACGAAATTGTCTAAACGAAATTGTTTTGAACTTTTGTTGTACGCTTCTGAAATAAGTTGGCAATATATATAATCTGCTTCTATACCTATAATAACACTTCTTTTCCATTAATTTTATTTTGACTTCCCATACCAATTGGCGAGAAAGTATTGTGGTGATCGCGGATATTTTTGATTAAAACCCTGTTCGTACAGCAGTCGCCAACCTATAAGTGATCGTATCCAAGGTCCCACCACACAAATTCCAATCATGCTGCTACGCTATATGTATAGACAGATTTCACACGGCAGGATCCCAGACACAGTCAGCGACAAGTCTGTACGAACAAACTTAAAGAGAGAGTAATATTTTTTCGATGATAACATCACGAAAAACTATCCGTCAGTCCGCCTGACTATCCGCTAGGTCTTGGCCTCTCTATCACTTGAAAGGTGCTGGTTAGATATTGATAAGGATATAACAGAAAGTAACTACTACACAAGGTTGGAAAGGCATTATAGTTTCTGAATATCGGTGGCGGAGTTACAGGCTAAAGACGAAAAAATAAAAATCAGACACATTTTTTTTGACGTTTCAGACGTTTAAGGAATGTTCTTGTAGGGGTTGAAAATTGGAGATTGCGTGGTAAGTACAAAGTCCTTTTTTTGAAACACTATAGAAACCTCTATTACTTTTAAACGAATCGATTCACTGATTACTGACTTTGGTGTTTCCCCTTTAGTTCTATCGCGCTGACTCTAGACTACAAAGTTTATTGGGGGAAAAGACTGATGGTAAGGCGAACTTTAGAATAATCTCCTTAAAACTGAATAAGAAATAATTTCATTGAAAAGTTGATTGTCTCACACTATTTTTGTTTCTTGTGCTTAAAAGCCATACCACTTTTGTTTTGTAATTTGATTTTACACCATAAATATCATTCGACGAGTCTTTTGTTATTATCAAAATCAAAAAGGATAAGGGATAAGATAAGATGCTACCCTGGAAAAGAACACATTACACAAACGTTGCGAAGGCAGGTGAATGAATTTTGATGCCTGATGTAAATGACAAAATATGTCAGATAAATCAACATGCTGGAATCACAAGCTACAGTTATACGACGGTACATATTATGATGAAATCGTGGTGGAACATATTAAGAAAGGAGACAGAGGTTCTTGGACCTTAGCTGAAGGTTTTCAACGTAACAAGAGCCGTGAATACACTTTGCTGTTGATCCCCGATAGTTATCCCCCGTTTCTAGTCCTGCAAAAGAACATAAACTGATTGATATCTTCGCTCATTGTATATAAAAGGAAGGCAACTCCCGAGTTGCGCAGTGTTCACAATAAAAAGCAACAAACCGTCATAATCACTTCCAGTCTAGGAATTCCTATTTGATGTTTTTCTTTTAAACTTCCAGCGACTTTTCTGGATCGATGACGCATTTCCTCGGATAGCAAATAATACTAAAAGCTCCTTATCCGACTTCCACGGGGCTTGACGAATACAGTAGGAGCACAGTTGACAGATGGAACTCATATGTAGTTATAGAAGTTTCCTCTTATACCAGCTGTATTGACGGTTCGATGTGTAGCGCAATTTCTCTTGGTGTTCATTCGAAATAAGTTGTTAACTTGGAATGAGGCGATGTGTGGTAAGTTAAAAGTAGATGGCGTTAGTTAGGTTGCGGACCATGTCTAATGACGCTTCTAAACGATCAATATTGTTATTACATTATTTAGCTGCAATCGAGTAGCTAGGAACATAATGGTATGACAATATCTACAGTACAGAGTGGCTATATTGTCAGACTTTTTATTATGTTGGTATACAAATACATTCCCTGGGGTATGATGAAATTTTCAAGGTTAGACGTGTTTTAATAAGCTCGGCGAATATCGTATGTGAAACGGATAAAAAAATTTGTATTAATTTTTGCGTAAGAAAGTGTGTGAGGAAGTGTGCGAAATATTAGCAAAGCCCCATAGTGAATCTGCTATCATTAATATAAGAGTTTACAAGTGGTGTAAGCGTTTCCAAGATGCAGACGTTGAAGATAACAAACGTCCGTCCGCCCCAGCAACCGATGAAAACGTGGGAAAAGTGAAGAAATGGTTATGAACGATCTCCGAATCACAATCAGATAAGTCATGGAATTTTCGGTACGAAACGCGTGGTAGCAAGATGTGTTCCAAAATTGATGAATTTTGAACAAAACAGCGGCGAATGGAAGTTGCTCAGGAGTCCCTGAATAAAGTCAACGACGATACATTATTACTGAGACGTGTTATCATAGGTGACGAAACAGTCCGTAAAATTGTCCTTATTTATGGAAAAACAATCCATAGCTGCTCATGGTTCATTGCTTGTTCGTGAATTTTTTACCAAAAATAATACTCCAACGATGCTCCAGCCTCCAAACTCGCCAAACCTGGCAGATGACATTAAAAGCGCATAGCTGAAATAGCTAAGCGCTACCTTAAAGGTGGAGTTTGGTAAGTTTCTTGATGACTGGAAGAAGCGATGACACAAGTGCAAAAGGCGACTACATTAATGCAGACGAATAAATGAACATTTAAAAAAAATCGAAAATTCTCATTACTTCCAGAACACATCTTGTAAATATGCAAGTGACTTGAGAAATGGTGTAAATTTATCAACGAAATTAGGAGAACCATTGCACTGCGTTTTAGGTATTTAATTGGTGCTCACCTAGAGAATGCACACCAGAAAGCAATTTTGTTTTGGCTGATTCCACATAAGATGCATTAGGGGTGTTCTAATAAGATATTTCTGTCCCTCGAAGAAAAATGGAAGCGCTCCATTATGAATTTCTAGCGCCACTTTGAAGTATCTTACAATTTATCACCAAGCACCTTAATTCGAAAAGCAGAAGCCAATTACATGGAAGTTACCGTCTGTTAGGGAAGATTAAGCACTTTTCCAAAATGCTCTTCGTCTAGCTGAAGAGGTTTTGTGTAGCTTACTGCTTTAGAAAAAAAAAACGGGAAACCAGCTAAACATGTGCACGGTTGTTTCATTTAAATTACGCACACAACAAATATGAAAAATAGTACTTACTCCGTCACTCTGTATACTATGGAATACATAATGAGTCTCAATGTATCAAAATTAGGTAGGCTTACACGTTTCCGATTCAACGAAATCTGTGAAGTTAGTCCTGTATATTGCCTACAAGGCGGGTCGTTTACAGCTTATAAATATTTTGAAAAACCGCTAACACATTGAAAACACAACGCATCATTTTAAGGATGCACAAAATGATGTCGGCGGAAGAGTTTTTTGTCTTCCACAGATTTTAACCAAAATTATTTTATGGATTAGGATTGAAAGGTACCTATAAGGCCAGGCGCACACATGCGATTTTCGGTCGGACGACTGAAAAATCTTGATCACGGAAAAATGCACTTACAATTTTTTAGGCACGCACTTGCGATGAATTAGTCGTAACTACATTTAGTACCATCGTGGATTTTACTCAAACTGCTGGTGTGGTTGCGTTGATATTACGAAATAAAGCCAAAAAAACGACGTGAAAAGGAATACTGGGTACATCCACTGATAAGTCAAAGATTGATGAAAGGCCAATTTTATAAAATTTATAACGACTTACGAGATCATCCTCATAAATTTTTTCACTATTATAGGATGAGTGTGAACAGTTTTGATGAATTACTTCAAAGAACAGGGCCGAAAATAACATATCAAAACACTAAGTGGAGAAATTATGTGCCACCCGAAGAGCGTTTATCGGTCACATTGAGGTAAGTATAAATATACACTATTTTTTAAATGATTTTATTCTCATACCAATTTTGTATTATTGATCTGACAAGTCAAACAACTTATTATTAGAATCAGAGGGTGTGGGTGATAATGTCTGTGATAATGGCAATAGAGTAGTCACATGAGGAGGAACCTGCCGTGGGAGATAGTAAACCATCTGAAAATTGCGAACAGTAACTCCTCATAGAACATTCTGAATTCTGCGAAACGGTGGCTTATGGATGTCTTGATGACGGTTTGTGAATGTTCTGGTGGCTGCGAAATGGTTTCTAGGTGTCCCGATGGCTGACAATTGGAGAATGGAAGTACCTGCGAAGGCGGTTGGTAGCTAGCTGTACGGGTCATGACAGGATAGTGAACAACTGGCGGAGCATAGTATACTAAGTGACATATAAATCCGAACACCCAGTTTAAATGGTTTTATTTTAATAAAAGTTGGTGAATGTACTTATCTTACTGTAAATAACAAGTGAAAAAATTTTCAGCCTTATCAGTTGGACATTCCGGTTTTTATACTGCTTTTTTTTAATTCACTAACGCTCTAAAAATGAATATTTCAGCCGCAGTAAAGAATCAACGTTGGCGGATTTTGGTTCTTGACATCCTTTACGACCGGTTACGATGCCTAGAGTACGGAGACCTGTACGATTTCGTCAACTTAGTGAGCTTGATAGGGGGAAGCTGGACTATCTTTTCGGGCAATTGCAGTTAGAGTGCAAAGAAGTGTAGACACTGTGGTTAGGTGTTGTCAGGCATGGCTTCGAGAAGGCCGTACGCAAAGATCAAGGGGCACTGGACGCCGCCGTAGAACAACAGACCGTGAAGATCGCCGCCTAAGATTATTGGCCTTAAGGGACCGTTTCTCCACTACCAGGTCCATTGCAAATGAATGGTTTGCAGAACACGGAAGACCTATTGGCATGCGAAGTGTTTACCGACGAATGAGAAGTTTTGGCTTGTTTTCATACCGGCCACACTGGGTCCTCCCTTTAACTCGAGTACATCGACGTAATCGCCTTGAGTGGTTCAGACAACGGTCACTCTGGGATCAGGATGGAACAGTATTTATTGTCTTTAGTGGCGAGTCTCGATTTTGTTTAGGCATGCACGATGGTCGGGCCAGGGTTAGAAGGCGATGTGGTGAAAGGAGGAACCCACAGTTTTTTGTTGAAAGATATTTTCATCACACTGTTGGAGTTATGGTCTGGGGTGCTATAGCTTATGGTTCCAGGTCACCCTTAATCAACGTCAGAGGTAACATGAACGCGCAGCGTTATATCCACGAAGTTCTAGCACCCCATCTTTTACCCTATCTTGACACCCTGGCAGACCCAAATTTCCAACAAGATAATGCCCGACCACATGTTGTAAGAGTCACAATAGACTTCTTTCAACATAATGATGTCACATTGTTACCATGGCCACCAAGACCTCCCGACTTATCCCCAATTGAGCACGTGTGGGCTCTGATGGGTAGGAGATTGCTTAATTTGCAACGTCCTCCTCAGACTCTAGAAGCACTTCGAGAGGAGTTGGTGGTTGCCTGGAATGAGATACCACAGGAGGACATTGACCACCTGATCAGAAGCATGCCTAGGCGCGTTGGAGAATGCGTAGCACATCAGGGAGCATCCACACATTATTAAAGGTCAAAGGGCTTTAAAGCAGTGCAATCATTTTGAAATTTTTATGGTTTACTTATTATGCTTCATTAAGTACTTATACAAAATTTTATTAAAATAAAACCATTAAAACTGGGTGTTCGGATTTATATGTCACTTAGTATAATTCCTGGCATATTTCATTACATTTAGGATCTCTATTTTAGCGTAACGTTGTTGTTCGTCGTTCAGTTTATGTAACAAGGACAAGCATTAAAGCAAATTGCTTGTTCTCGTCGATATCTTCGTTTTGCTTTTGTTGAAGGATACTTAATAGAGAGCTTTCGTACGACGTTATTTTTTGTGGTGTTTTCTTACGACGACACGTTGGAGTGTTCAGTTGATCTTCATTGTTGTCTTGCAGATTAGGACGTTGAGTTGGCATGTCCTGTTCTTGGATATTGTCGTTAGTATTTCCTGTAGGTGCAGTGTTACTACTTGTAGGTCGATCATTCATGGAAGGAAGCAGACATAACAACAAATCGAAATAAATGTATTTTCGTCTTTTTTTTTTTGCAGGTTCATCACTTTTCACTTTTCGTTGGGCTGCACGTTCCCTTACGAAGCAGTCCTTCAGATTCTTTCACTTTTTCTGTATTTCTTCTCCTGCAATATGAAACCAATTATTGTTAAATTCGAACAGACATGTAATTAGTATTTTTATTGATACAACTTTTCGTTTAAGGTATCTTGCCACTGGTAACAGTTCCAATTATTTGCTCTTTGAAGACCTAACAGGAGCTACTACAGTCAGAGGAATTGTTAAAGACATTTGTAAAAAAATTTAGATATGTGTACAACCAGAGTTTATGCCAGACGTATCCGAAGACAGTTGGTTGATTATTGCCACACAGTTTTATGATAGAACTGATTTTCCAAATTGTATTGGAGCTGTCGATGGGAAGCACATAAGATTAAAGAAGCCTGATAAGACCGGCACAGAGTTTTACAACTACAAATATTATTGCTCGACAATTCTTTTGGGTGTAGTTGACGCCGACTATTGTTTCATTGCGATAGATGTGGGAGCATATGGTGCAGGCAGTGATTCTAATGTTTTCAGCAATTCTAATTGTGGAAAAAGATTAAACAATAAGCAATTAAATTAATTAATGATAAAATTGCACAACTTATGCCGTACGTTTTTGTAAATGATTAATTCGCACTATCAGAACATGTTTTGCGGCCTTATCCCAGAAGAACCCTAACAATGAACCAACGAGTATATAATTACGGACTGACTGACGACTGACATCGGATGGTTGAATGTACGTTCAGCATTTTAGATGGTTGCAGCTATCGAATTTGCTGACCATATTATCAAAGCATGTTGCGTTTTGCATAATTTTGTGCGGAAAAAGGATGGTATACGAGTTGAGGATGAGTTATGCGAATCTCCTATGCAAAGCTGTCATCCGAGTGGAACACGGGCTAACATGTGTGGTCTTAAAATCCGAGATTATTTTACAAATTACTTTACATCCCCAGAAGGCTCAAGACCGTGGCAATATGATAAAATTTGAACTGTACCGTTTTATAACACGTGAGACTAATAAAGAAAATACACAGCATGAAAATACATTGCTTTCGTTTTCCCGTTGCAGATAATTTCATCCAATTGCGTATTACATTCATACAAACTTCAACCCACAGTTTTTCCTTCAAGTTCCGGTCACTATACTCTTTCAGTTGCTTGTTGTAAAGAGCATGTCTTTTTTCCACCTCGGTAATTATTCTTTCTGTGTCCAAGACACTATGTGGACGGTCATCCCTGGTGGACAATTCGAGATCGGACATTTTAAAATTTAAAAAATCAGCAGCCCAGCGCAGCGCGGCACAGTCGTTGAACACTAAATTTCTACTAACTAGTCAGAGGTGCGTCCATGTTCATTCCTGTCCGTATGACTTATATTGATTTGCGATAATCGCGTCGCTCCTTGAATAGAACTGGTTGCATCTTTTTAGCCGCGGCGATTATTTAATCGCATATACGCGCATTTGTATTAAAAAACTGTGTGTTTCATTTTTACGACTAAACGATCGTGTGACCGAAAATCGCATGTGCGCGCCTGGCCTAAGTTGATAATATACTGAGTGACAAGAAAAAGGTAAACACCTACGTATGTTTATTAGAATTCAAGAATTCTTTACATATCGATTTATGTTGTCATGAACAATAACTGATAAAATCGTCAGATTTTTCTGTTAAGCTTTTGTGGTGGCCGCGCGTATTGTTTGGTGATAAAGAAGCATTCAGCCTTCGTACATTGAGAAGCCGTCTAGGAGGACCAAGAGATCCTCACGCAGTATACTGCAGTGTGAACGAGCGTGGACTCAGGAAGGTCGAGGACAGCGAGCGAGGGGTTCTGGATGCTCCATAAGGACCATAGAGCGACAAGACCGCCGGTGAAGACTTCTGGCTCTGAGAGACAGATTCAGTAGTACTCGAGCCATTGCTAATCAGTGGCTTGAAGAGCAGGGAAGGATCGTTGGCATGCGTACCGTATATCGCCGAATACGACTGTTTGCCTTTTTTCTTATCACCCAGATTGGGTGCTACCTGTCACAGCTGAACATCGGCGTAACCGTTTGCTCTGGTGTAGACAAAATGGGACCGGAAATGGAATCAGATGATCTTTAAAGACGAATCCCGCTTGTGTCTGGGGATGCACGATAGTCGGGCAAGAGTGAGAATGCGACATGGTAAAAGTCGTGACCCACAATTTGACAGAAAGTGTCACGTTCCATACCTAACCACCATACAAAACCCGATTTTTCAGCAAGATAATGCCAGACCGCATGTTGCCAGAGCATCGTTAACCTTCATGGATCAGCATCGCATCAACCGTTTACCTTGGCCACCACGATTGCCTGACCTATCTCCAATTGAACATGTCTGGGACCTGATAGGTCACAGGCTCTTGAATTTGTTACGCCCTCCACAAACCTTAGCATCTCTTACTCACGAAGTTGCAGTATCCAGGAATGAGATACCCCAACAGGATATTGACCACCTTATCAGCACGATGCCCAGGCGTGTCAATGAGTGTATTAGAAATCGTGGATGATCAAAACATTATTGAACCAGCTTCTGCAGTCAGTTGACGAATCATGCTGAAAATTTAATAATTTTACTGGTAAGGAACACTGAACATATATGCCAAAAATTATTGAATTCGGATAAACATACGTATGTGTTCATCTTCTTTTGTCACTCAGTATATAATGAACACAGCATAATTTTAGAGTCATCTGATGCTTTTTTCTGCCTCAATACATAAGCTTTTCGCCAAGATATGATCATTTCTGCTCATCGTTTTGAACTTCGTTCAAGTGTGATACCGCATGAGCATAACCTCAAACCATTTTTCCCTTGAGTGATCCCATGCAAAATCTATTTGAAAACGTTAGATAAGTATTCTAAATACAACACTATTGAATATTTACCTTATGAAAACAGAATGATTCCTTAAAACCTGTAAGTTATTGCATAGCATAGTTTTAGTTCAACAACAAGGCAGAAATGCATGCTTCAAATTATTTTTTTTTTAAATCAAGTTGCCGAGTTTGCGGGTCGTCGCCGGTGTATTCGACATGATTAATAAGCAGCCCGGCCATAAAATAATCTTTCTGACTACTACTCCACAAGGAATGCAGCAATTTCACACCCTACACCTCCAAAGCTTTACGGGTGTGTCATAATCACGATATGTGGCCAGTTAGTAATTACACATTTCCTAGATGAATGCTGATTATCCATCCAGTTAAAAAACGATTCTCTCCGGACTTTATATAAACTATAAGCTAATAGGAAAGGGCCCAGCTGCAATCTGTGACTGTATAGCACCCCAGAGTGTCCTACACGCGGCGATATTGACGAAGTTTCGACGAAGTTGAAGCTCCAGGGATAATGGCCCGGACATTGTAGTTCGTTTTTGCCGATAAGTTTCGTCTACCCCAACGATGAAAGGGAAAGTTTGCAGACAAAGGGTGACCCTATGAATGGAGAATCGCCCAAACGCTTTTCTGGTGCCGTGAACGCCGCAAATGCGCTGTGGTATTATACCAGTTTCTCTCTGTGACCTGCCCACAATAGACAATGATTCTATCACCTCTATCTCTAAGAAATGGGCTATTAAAAGTTATACATGGTGTCTCTAAAATATCGGGTAAAGAAGTAGCAGTAGTTTTTTTTTCTAGAGTGGAGGTGAAATCCATTTACAGACAACGTGAACCTGATCTGCACAGCATGATCATGTGGGGGTCTAATCTCGGTGTCGAGAGAAAATACCCATTTCAGCATGCTCATCCCGTTACCGCTCTCGCATTGCTTCAGGATGAGAGTTGAAGGCCCTACAAATTACAGATGAGTATTATCTGACTTAATGTCTCTTTACGAAAATGATATGTGTTTTTTGGATATTATACGAAGGCTCCCAACGTTGTAACCACAGCAGACGTCAACTATGAGCCGTGATGAAAGAAAGGTAACACCGCGCTCGAGCGGGATGGTAGTGCTACTTGAGATGTGCTGCGTGTGATGTTCGAGAACCGCAATTTTGGAAAACAGGTTTACAGTACAAATTGTCTGAATATAAAATTGCTTTAAAATTTTTGAAAATACAAAATAATCATGATACATCTAAGCTGCTAATGAAGTTAACCTAATTAAAAGTATTTAGTTTCCTTTTTTTAGTATCACCATACTGAATTCCACTAGGCCCAGCTTGAAAATGGGGAGTTATCTGTTTGTTTTTCATGCACTTACTTTCAGTTTCACTGTTATTTTTTAGTTTCACATAGTCATTTTAAATTATGTTTGAAAAAATAGACAACGGCTCAGACAAAATGTCCGCATAATTCCGGCCACAGATGCAACCTAAAGAAAATTCACTGAATACAAAGTCAAACTGAATGCTGAGCAATGTCTACTGACATAAAATAACTTTTCATCAGTACTACTCAGAAAAAACATTCTAATTAATCTAAATTAACAATAGATTCAAAAATGGCTTCCATGTGGTACATTGGTACATAACTGGTTGGAACTAACAGTCCTCTTCTTTGCAAATGATCGAAATTAATATTTGTTGCAAATTAAGAACACAACATAACTTCAAATCCATATCTTTGAACTGAATTTATTATATATTCCACCAAAGGCATCATTTCATCACCTGTTATATTTGAAACCGGTAGTAATTTAACTATTTCTACTTCCAAATGGCTAAAACAGTGTGAGCTATGTCGTTTTTATTTGAGGCATACCCAACAATGTTTTGTGAGCGATAGTCCAATCGATATGTTATATAAATTTCATCAATCATCAAAATTACAATTTTTTCGCTTTGAGCTAATTTTGATGCTATATTTGTAAGATAGTGTTTATTATTTACGTTATTTTTTAGGGATATATCCATACTTGATGATATGTATATGTTGCAAGTATCGCTTGCTTGTTAAGAAATTTCTTTAAATAAGCTATATGTTGATGATGAGTGGTTATAAAGAATAAAAGCCATTATTATTGAAAGTGATGCAAGTCTGTTTTTTCTGTTTTGAATTTGCCTCAGTTGATCAGCTACAATCTCTAGATTTTTCACATTTGCATGTAAACATAACTAATTCATCATTAACTATGCATGCATTCGTGATGCAAACTTCAACATAATTTTTGTATTGGTTCTCGTTAAAACAGAAACAATACGTAGCTAGCAAATTTTTTATTTGGGGCCATCTTCTACTATTTAAATCATATAGCAAAACCCACTTTGGATCACTAAAGGAGAGTTTACATCCTTTATGAACAACCTGAACTTCCATATTGTGTGTATTCAAAGTCAATATATCGTTTTCAACATCCAATTTATAGAAATGTAGCTTTCCGTTTGATAATTTATGATTCCATTTCTGTGAGACTTTGAAACGTAAAATTTAAATCCTGAAAGTATTAGAACTTATCCATATCATCAAAAATCTGTATGGTTGGATGGTAAGATTTGATGGCAAGTTTGGGCAAATTGAGGGATCATTATCTTTCAATTCTGGATATTTCAAGAATATATTACTTTAGATTATTCCATCCGCCGAATCGATATTTTCTGCCTTAATGATTTCTGATTCAATAGAATGACAGCTAAATATCTTGAAGGTGTCCAATTTTTCCTTGGTATTGCCATTAGCCATTTGCTTTTTAGATTTTCGTCACTTGGGAAGCGAAAAGTTGAAACGTTGCATTGCAGAACGGAACACAGCAACAACGAGGCATATTGTCTTCATCGTATACTTGATAAATATAAAGGAAAATACAAACAAATTCGACGTTTTCAACAGTTCAAATCGTGCCGCCAACGGCCACAGTCACCTTCACTTGTTGACTTATTTTATTTTGAAGCCCTACATCTGTAAAATTTGATAAAGTCGAACTTCTTATAATAGTCAATGATGACTTTGGTGACATTACGCAGTTTAAAATTTAGAAGACAAATCACAAACTGAGAAGGTTTTGTTTTTTCTGTTTATTCAACGCGGCGGAAGTAACACTACCATCTGCGTTGCCAGATTTCTTTGTTCACGGCTTGTAGTTGACGTCCGCTGTGCTGTAACTTTGCCGCGCGTGATGCTAGGCGAAATCTGGCAACACCGTCGTGTTTGTCGGCTCCCCCACCGCCGATCCCAACAAGAAACGCCTATTGTCGACGCTCAGTATTGGCTTGACAGCCATGCGCACCGCCAGTCATTCGATTATTGTATGCAAAAACGGCGTGAGTGAAAAAGTGGATTCCACGTCTAAAAAA